TATAAACTCACTGACCCTTCATTTTACAGTGCCCCGCAGTAGCTCACAAAAAGTTCCAAGTTGACAGAAACACGAATCCGGAGTACCTATTTAAAAACCGCCCCACTTAAAAGACACAATGTCCGAACCCCTAAATTTGGGTGATATTTGCTTTTTAACTACCGCCCTTTCGAGCCGCTACTAAACTACCAACATGGTCGATTTTTGTGGTAATTCCTTTTAACAGGTTCCAAAAACAACCGTAACTGCCCACCTCTGTCCGCCTTGTCTATCCACCATAACACGCCGCGTTTACACCAGCATGGCTTCCTTCCCCCATGGCACGGACTCACGCAAACGCAGCGACATCACCTTTCCAAAGCTTTAGTTGGTAGTCTAATGAAGAACCAGTATTCTAATCAAGGTTTTTGTAGTGGAAACGGATGACCCTTCGATTTGGATTCTTTTGAATTTTTGATACGAGCTTAATGTGATTTAAAAAAACTGGATACTTTTTGGTTTTGAAGATCTTCCTAGGTGACCCTATTTTGGACCACCCCTAATTAAAACAAGGACCCTTAGGTGGACAGGATCAATGGTCTTTCGCAAGACCATTCTCTTCAGCTCAGTTCGAATCTTTTGATCCCCGCGTAGCCTGAAGAGAGGAGAAAACCTCCTATCTACCCCCTTGCCTAGCAAAGAACCCCGGGCCAGGTGTTTTTCCGAAAAAAATTGGCAAGAAAAAGCTCCTTCCACGTCCTCCTGTTTCCTGCGTTTACGCGGGCACAAGTGTGGTGAAACCTACTGGTTGTGAAACACTCGGATAAAGAAGCGAGAAGGATTTCATGGGGAGCCTAATGTCTGCCAAGACGGCCATGCCTTCGTTTAAATAGATCCGTGCAGTCTTAGCGGCTTGCCACCGCCCGGCTAACAGCAGTTTGTCAAATGATCATTGTTTGGAAAACCAATGGGTGGCACCACCTCGCCGTAGTGAGCACGGTCGAAAGTCAAAAAGGCTGACTCAAGAGCTTGTAGGTTTCCTTGAACAGGGGCAGCTCTGTATTGACACCAAATATGCGGGTGCTACGTACTGAAGTGAGCTCGCCTGTTCTTAGCATCCCGTAAAACCCAGAGCGCAGAGACAGCAAATCCAAACTGGCCATGGAAAACTTGAGAACAAAGGGTGGGCAAAAGGTTGGTAAGCAACCGACGGCCAGCGGCGGCAGCAGCTGCAGCTGCAACCAGCAGCAGCAGCAGCAAACCACCAAGCAGCAAAACACCAAGCAGCAGCAGCAGCAGCAGCAAACCACCAAGCAGCACCAACAGGACCACCAGCAGACCACCAAGCAGCAGCAGCACCACCAGCATACCACCAAGCAGCAGCAGCAGCAGCAGCAGCAGACCACCAAGCTGGTGTAAGCGGTGGTTGGTACAAAGCGTGGTTTAGTGTAGAAGGTGGTTGGTGTAAACCCTGATTTGGTATAAACGGTGGTTGGTGTAGACCACCGTTTGGCGTAAACCGTGGTTGGTGTCATCCATGGCTTGGCAGCAAAGCAGCAACAGCAACAAACCAACAGCAGCAGCCGCAGCAGCAGCCGACAAGCTCAAAGGAAAGCTACCTCACAAATGTTACAGCATTTTACCGCAGTTCGATACGAATCCAAATGATCAAATTGAGAGAAGTGACCCGTCCCACGGGGATTTGATCGGCCCCCCCCCTCTAATGCAAAAGTCATTTCGTGAGCCACACCAACTCGCGATCGATCCACGCTCACCCCTTCCACATCGTGGGGCGCTAAAGGGTTGCTATGTACGACCAACAAAAAATCCACACAAATACAGAAAATCACCATGGTACCCTTCACTGGTTTAAGACACAGTGGGATAGTGAAGGTGAATTAAAAGGGACGGCGTCAAATTTGGAATGAGCAAATGGTCGAATGTTACCTTCCGGCGAATGCATTTCTTAGTTTTTTGGTATATATTGTGCGCCTTGTCCGGTGGAATATGTTGATATGGCACAGCACATTGCGATGAAGACCACGGAAGCAGAGATGGTACCCCAAAAGCAGGTCATTGAATTCAGGTCCTAAGCTAATGTTGGACGTTGATTAGTAATAGGTCCCTCTATAATGCTAAATTTTGGAAAAGTAATTCTTGATACCCTGTTTGTTTTAAGGGTCCTCTATTATGCTAAAACTTTTTGGACCCGATATTTTTCTTATAGTTACGGCCAAGCAGTTAGAATACATGAGCAGGGTGAGGGAAACCATACAGTTGGAATAAAACTATATAGACTATATCGAAATATTCTAAAGTGAAAGGTTCTGGTGCTTTCAATTAGCAGAATATCAAGCGATCCGTTTTTTTTCCTTTCTCAATTTCCCGTTTTGGAGTTCAGCAGCTCTGGAAATCTCATCAGAGCTTGCCTACAGAGAACATTAACTACAAGCCAAGTTGAAAAGCTCTCTCTTGCTATTTATCAACATGAATACATATAAGTTCCTCCCTCTGTGGTCATGCATATTTGTTTCTTTGGGCTTGCAAGGTCACGCAAATCATCGAATTCTTGGCAAACTCGAGCAACAAAGCTGGAGCGGAACCGGTTCCACTCAGGTACGGTAAGCCAGATGCAAGAAAGGCAATATACAGTATACAAATATACAAATATATGTCTATATGTAGATATGTGTGTGTGCGACCTTCTATTGAACAATTGCCAGCATAGGTATATATATGTCAAATGCAAAGGCTAAGTTTTTGCAATTGGAATCTCTCAGGGCTTACCGGGATCTGAATTGTTTCTTTGCCAACCTATCAGTGATGTTCCAGCATCAGAATCAAAACGCGAGTGAGGGCTTGCCGCTTGCCACGGGGTTCTTCCAGCGCTTGACCCCCACGCACGTCCATAGAGCTTGCTGCCCGCACTAGAAGCTCGCCACACGCGATTGGCTTCATGAACGCCTATGCTGCAACCATTATAGGTCGATTTGCAAGACCTGCTTCACAGAGCTCGAGGAACTCCGGTCTCTTGTGGGCTGCAGCCACAGCCTTGTGGATTTCATGAAGAGGTTCTGGATGCTGTCCATCATGCTCTTCCTCAATCTCTTCATCAGAGTCCACAAAGACCCAACCATCAATGTCCTGTTCACGGTCACCGTCATCATGTGGCTCATCTAAACCACACTAGTCCAAAGCAACTGGATTCTCCTCCAGCTCATCGATAGCACCATCTATGTCCATCAGTGCATCTCCTCCCGGGTTGAATTGGTTTGGATTGAGAAGAATGTTTGGCAGTTAAATATATATATATATATAGCCAGCCCTGTCAAGAAATGCAAAAAACGGTGCACTTAGAATTTTTTGAAACATAGTGAGTGTGGAGGTGCTAAGAATGCTTGGAATATCTTGTAATATTTCGAACACCCAGAAAACTTTGATGCTGCCACTATATAAAGCTATAACACACAAAAAGGTTTCATTTGTTTTTGTAGAGGTGCTTCTCCTGCTGGTTGGTCAAGCACATGTGGCACCTCAGCTTGTGGTTGCACACCCTCCAGCGACATCAGCTTGAAGTATTTTCCATCTCCAGAGCGGATGCGCATGTCTTCTGGGTCTGCTGCTATCACCACTTCAAGAAAAAAGGCATGAAGACTTCAATTGGTCGGCAGTTTTGCCCTTCAATGTCATGACCTGAGCTTGTCTCCGCTTGTCCAGCACAATCCTGCGGGACGTCGACTGGAGCCATTTTTCATGGTTCTCTTGCTGTTTAGGAGCTAGCTCACCTTTGCCTGCATCTCTCCGTTTGGTCATCCTCTTCTGCCAATCTTCACGTTCCTGCTGCCAAAGCATGATCGTTCTGGCAATAGGGGTCTGAAACCATGAAGGTAGCATGATGGGCTCAAAGCTATCCTGTCCAAATCCAAAACTGCCCAGGAGGAAGTCTGTTCTCCATCCAAAATGGCATTGTTTGCTTGGTCGGCTTGGGCTGCTTCAGCTGAATAGTCCTGCTCCATAAGACTTTCAAGCCTGTAGCGATCCCTCATTGAGTGCTTGCACGCCTTCATACCCTCTGCTAAGAAACCCACAAAACCAATGATTCTTTTATAGTGGCAAAGTTTATCTGCCTTCCCAACACTTTCTTTGGTGGTCTCTTTGCCGCTATTCCATAGGAAGCCTTTTCGAATCATGTCAAAGCTTGCAGGCATATTTCAGCCCAAGGGCGCACAAATACATCTAAAGATTATATAATATAATATAAGTTATCAATCAATCCAATTTTCTCACTACCTCTTACTCGTCAAACATTTGGAGTTCATCGAAAAATTTATCATTAAGCCAAGGAACGTGAAGCTCTGTTTTCCATCGGTGCTCATGCCCATGGTTTCCAGTGATTTCCGTAGCCGGAGTGAGCCACCCAGCCGTGCAGCAACCTTCATGAAACTTCTGCTCGAAGCATGCCAATGCTGATGGAAGCCGTCATTTGGGCCTCCTCTTCCTCCCCACCCTCCTGGGATTGCATTGTTTTGCTCTTCCCATAGGAGCCTGGCCTGCTGGCAAGCCTGTGTTTGATGAACAGCTGCCTTGTCGCTGAGGAGCGCCCTGTATTCCAGTCAAAGGCAAGACGGGTCTCTTGCTGGGATCTTCCGACGGCCGGTAGCATATGATCAGAGCTTGTGCTGTAGCATCCAAGCCAAGGCTTATCCTCCGGGATCTCAATTCACTGCTCAAAAAGTTCAAAAATTCCAGAAATGTTGCGCTCGACCACATGTGGGTATTTGAATCTTGCGGCTTGATGAGCAATACCTTGCACAAAGAATCATCCAATCTGGGACAACTTGTCTGACCCGTAGACAAAAAAGGACACGGAGGATGAGAACCGTTCTTTCTATATGGATACCTCTACATATAAGGTTAAAACGATATTCTAACTGCAAAGTTGGCATCCATCCACAAAAGGTCCGTTACATATATATATATATATATTAATATATAATATAAGCCAGGTACCCCTTTCAATTCCTGGTTCATCTTTCTGACCGCCTCCTTTGGCATATGCACATTGGGTGCAGTATCATAGCCGATTCCCACATGGCCGTCAACCCATGACAATGTATAGTTGTAGTTCTCGCCTGCCACCGGGTTCAACCGACCCTCAGCATTCAGATCAGGGTTCTTGGGTTGATACTCCACCACCTCTGAGGAAGGTTCTTGCAAGACACCCAGAGCCTGCTGAATAGACCGAATCAGCTTGGCGGTGGAAGGCTACACCCCAACGTCTGACATCTTGCCCTGATCACATTGCCTCTTGTGCAACGTTGACTTGGCATGCTCTAAATGAGAGCTATAAACTTGATCAAAGTTTGCTATGAGACGAGGGTGGACTCCGTGTTGAGCAGAGCAGGTCCTCACATACAGCCGCACCTTTTCCATGTCTGGCTGGCTGAAATCTAAGTGTTTGGCAGGCTTTGTTACTTTGCTTGTCTTGATCCCAAGCTTTGCGCATAAGCGTCGTGCGCATGACCTTAGTGCCGAAGGCATTCAAGCCTACAGTCTAGCACTTATAGTATTGAATATGAAAATTCATTGCGACAAGGGTAAGCGCAAGGAGTTGCAAGGAAACAGGAAGGACTAATAAGGACATACAGATTTGAACGGAGAATTTAGGCTCTTAAACTCAGTGACTTAGGGTCACAGTCCCAAAGGTTGTAGCTGAAGCTTAGGCACACTTTTAGCTCAAACACGCGTGAGCTCTGGTATCGAAATGAACACAAAAGTAAACCACAAACGGCTGCGGTGAGACATACATCTATACAAGCTATGTCATGTACATGCTACTGGTGCTACATCTGATCACGCCTCCCGAGTTTAACATCTCCCAGAAGTTAAGCGAGTCAGGATTAGCACTTCGGTAAATTAGCTCGTAGCCCTTCAGTACATCTTGGTCTTGAAGAAGTACCTACTTTAGCTCAAGCCGTTCAAGCTTTCAAAGTCAGTTCATGTTCACCTTCCAGGTAGTGGAAGTTCATGCCTTTCATGGCTGTAGTCATTTTCTCTTCAGTGACAGCTTTTGCTCCTTGCCAGCAGGGAGTGCCATCATACGAGACCTACGGCTGTGGCATGGTGGCACCCCGAGTGCTTCAAGCCTGACCAGATTCATGATTGCAGGGACACGGGGCCACCGTTTTTAATTGTGTTTCATCGAGTTTGTAACCCATGGTGCACTTGCAACTTTTAGCGAAGCACGGGCGACGCCCGGGCTGTTGAGAATTTTGCTTTCAAATCAACTGAATGGCACGCCCCAAGGATATTTGCCCAATGCCGAGTTTGTCAGCCTTGTTTGGGGCAGTCTGACGAGCCTAAATCTAAACGTTGCCAATAAGGTTGTTGTGCAATTTTTTGCAAAATTGACAAAGTAGGATGCACTTGAAAGCAGGGTTTGCAAGAAGGACTGCGTGAATGTAGTTGGCAAAGAAGGACTGCGTAAGTTACTGCTGTAATAGATCATATAAGGTGTGGCACCGGCGAAATCCTCGACCCTTGTCAGCCAGTTGCTTGGCAGTTTGGCCGAGAATGATGCGCCATGTTGCTCAAGCCGGGAACGTGCTCCACTTGCGAGACACATCATTTAGCTGTCCAGACACGTGCCACTTTGCTCGATAAACTTGCCGAGGTTCTTCCCCAGACAGTTCATCATACCCTCTCGCAGTTTGGGCAGGAGATCTCCCGGCGTTTGGTGGCTTTCAATGAAGAACTCGCCAGCGGGGTCCTCGAGATATAGGTGTGATTGCAGCAACTTTTTAATGCAGTCCAAGGCGGTGAGGGCTGGATGATTAACGATGTTTTCGGCTACCATCGGCATAAGCAAGAGGCGTATTGACAAAAGGGTGAACGTGCTGACCCAGGAGAATACGTAGCGAACATAGTGGTGTGGAGTTCTTACTGCAAAGCTGCGCATCTTCATGACACATATATGTAGAAGTTCAGAATGAACTGAGGGACAAAAGCGAGCCTAGATGTTTAATGGAGGGAGGGTGGGATAGAGTTCTCACCTCAGCCTAGGCTCTGGACCTAGGTTTTGAAAGACCCTTGTTTTGCCCCGTTCGTTGTACGCGCGAGCCTGTGAATGGTTGTGTTGAGCCGGACGGACGCGGAAAACATCTTGACGATCCCCGACCTCCTGAATAGCCTGCTTGTCGCGGGGGACCCCGGGAACGACATCCGCTTGATGGCAGTGGGGTTGGTTTGGCGCAATGCCAGATGGGTGGTCCACCTTAGAGGAGGAGGAGATGCCAACAGGTTTGTAGACAATGACCCGTGGTCTATGCCGAGCAGTGGGGGACCTCCTGAAGGTAGTGGGCATGTGGATGCAATGGCTACGACGAGAACAACCGCCAGCAGCAGTGCATCAGGAAGCAAGGAGAATCTGTTGAAGATGGCCAACCTGGTCGATCAGACGGATGACTCGGAGACGAGACTGCCTGATGGACGAGACTGCCTGATGCATTGAAGCTCAATGAATGGACTCAACGATACATTGCAGTGATGGGCGCTCCACCTCAAGAGGAAGAAGAGCCTACAGATGCACAGCTGGCTGCGCCATACCATAGAGTTGCAGTGCAAAAGCAGCCACCCTATGTGGACTTCTCCGTGTGGCTCCCCTTTGGGAGAAGGGTGAAGTTTCAAACCTTCATGCCGGTAGGTGACGGGTCCTTCGTGATGAAAGAGTTGCCCGGCCCGCAGAACCTGCAGCAGTGGATGGTGAGGTTGGAGGGTGTTCAAGGCGGCTTGCATTTGTTTGAACATTGTCTCTTTGGCAGCGCTTCAACTCTATGAGAAAGTCATCGAGAAGCTGGTGTTGCAGTGGCCTAACTCATAGCGCAAGCGGATGATAAGGCAAGAGCCGAGAAGTTGGAGAAGATCAGGAAGAACATCGTCCTGGACGTTGCTGCAGGTGGAATCCCACCAAGAGAGTTCACGGAAGACGATTCGTGGACGGCATGCTTCAGAGCCCTGGCCTTAGATGAAACGTTTTGGAATGAGCAGGTGAGGCACCCAGCTGCAGCTTGGCTGGCGAGTGGGGCTCATGGAACTCCTAAGCCTCCCGCTGAAAGCATAGCTATGGCACACCACCCGGGACCTCCTGCAGAACCAGGTGAAAGCGATGTGGATTGAGCGAAAGCGGCAAGCCAATAGAGACAAGCGGACAGCGAAACGCAAGAGATGGGCGGCCGAACGCGAGGAGCTCTCGACGCTCAGGGAGCAGAGGTCGAAGGGGGACTTCAACAAGGGCAAGGGCAAGGGCAAAGGTAAAGATCAGGCTGAGCAGGAGATCTGCTATGGCTGGGCCAAAGGCCCCTGCTCGGGGTTAGCCGCTGGCTCGGAGTGTAAAGGGCAGATTAAGCGTGCGCACAAATGCACGCTGTGCTTTTCACCAGCTCACCCAAACGCGGAGTGCCCTAGGAAGACTGCGTCCCCCGTGTGATCCCTTAGGGAGCGGTGGGAGAAAGGGTGCGGTTTGCTTCTCGCATAGGGCGAGGGGGGTGGGGGCAGTTACGCGGGTTTTGTGGTCTTTAGGTAGATGGGGGTGAGCCAGGTGAAAGGTGCTTTTGGTTCGAGGTTCGTTCACGTTCGGTTGACTGTCGTTCGAGAGGGTTGGGGACGTGGGGACGGACGGACAGGACTTGAGTAATTGGTCGAATAGCTCGGGCTCAAAAGGGCTCGAGAGGGACGATCCAAGGGGAGATGGTAGGCTCGTCGAAGAGCCTTGATCAGCCCAAACTGGAGGAGCTGCCTGTGAGAGGATTCGGGACGCGCTGAATGCGGCCAGGGGCTTCCCAGAGCACCAAGAGCTCAGGGTCGTCAGGTTCCTGCACATGTTCAGCGGCAAGGAGGTGCTTGAAGGAGATGGCACTGACTGAAGGAAGGGCTGCAGTTGGAAGTCTACAGCTTAGACAAGTTGGGCGAGGGGGACGTGGACTTGACCAAGGATCACCCGTTCATGGAGCTCAAAGAGGAAGCGGAAGGGTCAGCGTTTGATGCAGGCCATGCTGTTTTCCCCTGCAACACGTTTAGCAGAGCAAGATGGAACATGGTGAACCGAGGACCCCCTCCTGTCAGGTCACTGCAGCACATCTATACCATCCAACTCGCCGGAGGAGCAGCAACAGGCCGATGAGGAACCCTGCTGGCATCAAGATCGGTGGAGATCATCGAGACCATCTTGAAGGACCAGAGGAAGCGCAGGGTGCCACAGGCAGGGACCTTAGAAAACCCCCCAGGATCAGATACCAAAGGTATCTGATTAGAACATTCATGGAAGTGTTTGAGGGGCAAGTTTCTGACTATAACACCTGCGCCTACCAAGAGGAGGAGCGCGTGAGGTGGTACAAACCAGGGCGCTGGGCCGGGCGCCTCTTGGATTTCGAATGGATTCGTCATGAACCCCTTGTAGGCGCCAAACGAACAGCCCCGGCAGCTCAAGACCCAAGGAAACTACGTGAGGAGTACTGCAAACTGCTCATCACGGCCTTCAAGCACACGCTGCAGTTGGAGTACTGGCGGAATAGGCTGGCCACCAAAACGGAGGAGGTGTCTGACTTGAAGAGGAGGTGGTTGATGAGCAAGGAGCGAATCTATCAGGAACATCCCGACGGAAGACCAGCAGCGGACCCTTCGAAGAGGGTTTGGGAGCAGTCTCAAGCCGCAAGCCTCGCAAGATACCCGACCACAACTTGCGGCGTCGAAAGCGAGGCGGGAGGAGGAGAACGACTGCTTCATTGGAGGGATGCGCAATCCGGGACGCGCTGTAGAACGACTGTCAAGGGTCAGGCAGGTGGGCATGGATGTTTCACGCATCTGGGACCGATTCATTGCAGACTTCCCAAAGGCGTTGGACATAGCCAAGAACTATGGGTCTGACGGCAACAAACCAGACATGGAGGTTGAGATGATGTGGAAGTCAGCGTTGAAGCAGTTCTTTCAAACCAGGTCATTCACCGACATCATTCTCAAGGACAAGTACGAGTTCGAGTCTCCCTTGGACCCGGAACTATGGGATGCGTGGTTGCGAGCCTCAGCAGACCCGGAAAAGCACCTGGTGGAGTGGATCAGGAAGGGTGTACCCCTGGGTATGAGCAAGGACATACCGTGTTGTGGCATCTTCCCAATGGTGGACGACCCGGAAATGGAGATGGAAGAGATGCCGGAGTTGGCGGACCACTTGGGGGCTACCAATTACAAATCCTTCACGGATGAGCCGGTGCACGCTAGGGCAGAGTTGGGGAGACTGGTGGAAGAAGGCTTCGCGGTGGTCCTCCCGACGGGCAAGGCGCAGGCCATGCGCAAATGTGGAATAGTGTCCAAATTAGCCCTGTTGATCAAGAACAAAGATGATGGGGGCGTCAAGAGGAGGATCATCATCGATCTACTACGCTGCGGGGGCAATGCGAGATGCAGAGTACCTGAGAGGATAGTGCTGCCCAGAGTGGTCGACGTCATCAACGGCTTTCGGTACCTGTGGAGCACGGGCGGCCGCGTAGAGCAAGTCCAGGGATGAAGAATGGGAGCTGGATGGTAATCGGCCAGAAGGAGGTATCTTTGACTTCGAGCTGGTCACGGCAGACCTGAGCGATGCCTACTGCCACCTGCCAGTGCATCCCGAGGAACATCAGAACTGCCTCAGCCCTGGACTCCATCAGTCAGAGACACTCATGTGGGTGGCCATGTTGTTCGGTTCCTGGGGAGCGCCATTGCTGACGGGCAGGTTCGCGGCGTGCTTGGCGAGAATCTGGCAATCCCTGGTGGCACCGTCTGAACTCCAAAGCCAGCTCTACATGGATGACCCAATGTGGATTCTTCGCGGCCCGACCTCAAGAAGAAACAGAAATTTGGCACTGCTGCTCTACACAGCCAGGGCGTTGGGAATAAACCTGGCGTGGCACAAGGGCTCAAGAGGCACGCAGCTGACGTGGATTGGAGTCATGTTCGCGCAGGCAGAAGCCGCGGTGAAGTTGACAGTGCCAAAGAAGATGATGGCAGAGGTGGCCCAAGCGTTAGAAGCCTGGGAATCCAAAGGGATGGTAAGCTTCAAGGAAGTTCAGCAGCTGACAGGCAGACTCTCTTGGATCGCTGGGATCCTCCCACATACTCGCTGGGTCGCTGGGCAGTCTCGATTATGTATGCTGCGCTGGCTGACTCCAAACGCTCCAAAGATGAGGAACGCAAGAGAGCATCCAAGAGGATCGACCAGAGACCCAAGGTCGGTCTCACATAGCAGCCAAAAGATTAGAGCTACCGAGGAGGTGGTTTGTGAGCTGTTCAAGGCCCGGAGGCATTGGCGCTGCGAACAGAACCCATGCGCCATCGTGACAGACGCCAGCCCACAGGGAATTGGAGCGTTGTTGGCGACGGTGGACCACACCATGGGACCTTCGTTCACGATCATCGAGGGCCTCGAGATCCAGCTGGAGGAAGCGGATGCGAAATGGTTGGGAGTCCCCTGGAACGAGTCAGCGTCTCAAGGCCCACTAGAAGCATGGGCAGTCAAGCTGGCAGTGCGGAGATGGGCTACCAGGCTGGAGAACAAGGGCATCGTACTGCGCAGTGACAGTGTGGTAGCGTTGGCTATGACGAAAAGGCTGTCATCACCATCACCTGTCGTGAATTGGGTGGGAGCAGAACTGGCCATTCGATTCGACAAGCACGGAATCAAGCGAGTGGTGACGCAGCGCATCCCGGGCAACTGGAACGTGGAGGCAGACTGGCTTTCTCGACCTCACGAACGAGGACCAAAGCCTGAGCGTTTGCTGAAGGTGCCGATCAAGTCGTTCCCAACGAACCTCATGCACCGGTCATATACCTGTCTCCACCAGGGGTTGCTC